AAAAAAAGCAGGGAAAGGGTACAAGTTATACAGATTTACAGAAAAAAAAATGAACAGTAGGAAATCACTAGTTAATGGATTACATATTGTCATCTTAGAAATAATTGTTCAAGTCACAAAATTAAAGCTTGTAAAGTGGACATTCCATCAATGATACTGCAAACAGTTCTGTTCAATGATCCAATAAAACTCTGTGATATCATATTCTATCTTATACACTTAAATATACATGCAGTTATATAGTTTGGAGCACTTTCTTTTCCTCTCTTTTGTACCATGACTATTACACATTTTGGGTTTCATTGCTCCCACTGTTCTTATTACTTTTTTGGAAGAGAGTAAAACCAAATGTGACATAACAGAACAGAATTGGTCAAGTCAAAAGGGTGGACATAATAGATAATGTAAAAACATAATACAAGGTGATCAACAATGGTTACTAATTCTTTATTTCTTTTTGGGTTTTTGAAGACAGTCTTGTCATGCAGTTCAGTCAGACCTTGAACTCACTGTGCAGCCCAGGGTGGCCTGGAACTCATGGTGATCCTCCTGCCTCAGCTTCCAAAGCGCTGGGACCACAGGTGTGCATCACCAGGCCTGGCTGTGTTTTTTTGAGCCATAGAGAAAATTGTTCAGGCCACTGATGCCATCCCCTGCCCCTTCTCTAAGGGGCTTTGTCTGTCCCCACCTTGTGCCCCAGGCTGTCACCCAGAGTGTCCCTGAGGGAGCTCTAGGTCCCGGAACATGAGCTTCCCTCTCGGCCTCCACCTGGGCCTAGCTAGTCCTGCATGGTTTGCTGGAACTCTGCTGCCTTGGGGAAGTCTTCCCTCTGGGACAGTTCCTAGCTAGACCTCCAGTGCGCAGGGACAGATCCCAGCCACCAGGGCATGGCAAGGGGGCGGACACTGCTTGAAGAACAGAGAGCCTGGTAGGACCCAAAGGTAGCAAGCAGGGAGAAGTCAGGGGAAGGTGACAGTCCAGACCCCGTGCTCCTCTGCACCTCTTCCCCAGCCAGGCCCTACTCCCCTGGTGCAGCAGAGCTGTGGGCTGAGTGTGCCCCGCACGGCTCCTCTGTGCTCTCTTCTGTGCCTCTGTCACCTCTCTGCAGTGTCCAGGGGACAGAACTCGGCCCAGACCAAGCTGGAGATGGCTCGGTCACAGCTGGGGCACGGATAGGCGGACTTCGGCTGCTCTCCTTCCAGATTCTCAACCCAGCGGGGGGCTTCCCAGCAGAACTCTGACAAAGGCACATCTGGAGACAAACCCAGTGTCACATACGCAGGATGCAGCCACCGAAAGCCCCACCTGTGAGCCTGACGCTGGCAGGTCAACACTGAAACCTAAACCATAACAATAAGCCAACGGCTAAAATTACACCAGTGGGGGACATTAGAAAGCTCTCTCTAAGCGAGGAACAAAACAAGGATGTGGACTTTCTCCACCTTTATTCAACACCATATTGGAAGCCCCAACCAGAAGAATCAGGCAAGAGAGAGGAATAGGCTGCATCACACTGGGAAGGAAGATGCTACGCTTTCACTCGTGCTGATGACAGGATCTTTTGTACAGGAAGCCTCAAAGGCTGCACCCAGAACCTAGTGTGACTGCTACATAAATACAGTGGAGTCACAGTATGAAAAGCCTGCGGACCAGTGCGGTGCATGGCTGCATGCAAGTGATCCCTTAACCAAAGGAGAAAGTAGGAGAGTGGTCATTGTAACAGTGTGATACCTAGGAGAAGACCCTCCTGCCTGCTGTGGATATCAAGGATTCTGCCCCAAAAACGAAGAAGAAAGTGGTTAAGACGCAGAGACTCTTAGAACACTCTTAGAAACACAGCTTGCAAATTGGGAAACTAAAGTTTAGTCAGCTCCACAGGTACATTTTGTTGATTTCTATGATGTTTAAAAATACTGACTCAAGCTTCATGTAATGAAATCCCAGCACTCAAGAGGCTGAGGCAGGAGGATCATTGTAAGTTTTGAGGTCAGCCTGGGTTACATAGTGAGTTTAAAGCCATCCTGATCTATACAGCGAGACCCTGGCTCGAACAAAACAAAACAAAGCAAACCATTGACTTAGTTGCTAAGACACAAAAATTGAAATAAATATCTAAAATTCAAGCATTTATTTAAAAATCTGTGATGAATTTCAGCTACAGAAAGGTGAAACAATCAGCAAACTCTCTCTGTAAGACACAAGCATAGAACCGAACAACTCTTGATATTGGTTGCTTTCCCTGCAATATGTAATGCGTGTCTCACATACGGAAGGAAATCCACAGCTTTTAAATGTTAAGATTTAGGAAATTCTAAGGAACCTATTGATCTGCACCAAGTAAAACTACTAGAATTATTCAACAATTGTGGCAAGGTCACAGATACAAAATATACAAAAACTAACTGTACTGTGTACACTAGCAATGAGCAAACTGAATAGGTGTGGCAGTGCTCACCTGACATTCCAGTACTTAGGGAAGCTGAAGCAGGAGGATCCCTGCAAGCCTGGGCTATAAAGTGAGGTACAGGCAGCCTAGACTATATGGCAAGACCTTGTCTCAAAAAATCAAAAACAAACAACAAAACTCCTCAAAAGTACACAAATAAAGAAACAAATAAGTAGCATAGAATTGGGTGGCAGAGATTTGCACAACCCCAAAAGTAAAGACTTAGCAGCTCCCTTTAGGCAAGGAAGGTGTTTCCCATTTTGTTCCAGTTCCTGTGATACTCATTGTATCTGACACTTCTGGGTGTATTTTGCTCCTTTGTGTGTGTGTGTGTCAGGGTCTGGCTATATAGCTCTGGCTGGCTATCAAATCACTCTGCAGCCCAGACTGGCCTCGAACCCCCAGTGATCCTTCTGCTTCAGCCTCCTGAGTGCGGGGATTACAGGCATGTGCCACCACCCTCAGTTTGTAAAATCAGTTTTAAATGAGGAAACCGAGGCTCAGAGACTCTGTGTAATGTGCGCAAGACTACAGCTACCCAGTTATCTTGTTGCTGAGGATACTGTGCTTACAGACAAAAGCAAATGAGAATGTTACACCAAATATTAAAAAAGAGCTAATGCCATGGAAAAGCTTCCCCCCTACCCCGGGCCCCTAAAGATTAAATAGCTCTGCGGTTTTCTTGTTTTAGACCTGGCTGTGGGAGTGGAGAATGCTGGAGAAGCCCTGGCAGCTGCTAAAGTCATTAGGGCGGGTTGCATCTTTGTAAAACCGGGAGTTCTTTCTCAGCCAAGAGCAGGCAGCACCCAAACAAGGGCCTCATCTACGCCGTCCAACTTTGCAGGGACCCAGGGAGAAACGCTGACTCAGCGAGGTGTCTGGACAGATTTGGGGAAGTGTAGCGTGCGTCCTAGGCGCTGTACAAAGTTAGCGCTCCCCGGGTGGCACGCAGAGAGCTGGGGACAAACAGTCACCCTTCCCTGCACCTGGCCTGGCTGCCTGACTCCTTCCTGCAACCGTTTTGCGCGCAAGAGGCTGCAGGAAGACGCCGAGCTGCCCACAGCTGAACCATGTGACTGGAGCCTGGCTCAGGTTTTGTTCCTCTGCGTTTGGAATTCTAATTAGCTTTTCCTAATGACCTACAAAGCTCAACCGGTGCAGGGGCAGCGTGAGAAGAAGCCAGCTCCATCCTGGTGGCCATCCGCGGCCCCGCCCTGCAGATGTGTTCCCTCTCACTTGGCTCTTAGAGCACAGTTGGAAGGAGCTGCTTTTCTGAATTGAGTAGACAGCGTTTTGCAGTCTACAAAAAACATCTCCATTTTCTGCTCCTGTGAGAAGTCTCTCTCCCCTTTGCTGCAGTCTTGCGGAGGAAATGCTGTGCCCTTCAGGAGTATAGTAGCCAGGACCGCACAAGGTTGGGGCTGGCTGGGAGATGTTTGATTTGTGATTCTAAGGGAAGCCTTGCCTTTGCCTCTGGGTACAGCCTTGCTGGGAGTGAGGCCTGTGTCTGGAGGCCCAGCTTTTGGGAGGCTGAGGCAAGGAATGCTGCGAGTTCAGCTCCAGGCCAGCCAGGGCTGTATAGTGAGACCTTGTCTTAAAAAAAAAAAATTCAAACAAAAACCCGGAAGCCGACATGGGTGGCCTTTAAGTTGTCATGTTGGGTTCCACATGATACACGCTGGTTGCACACGAACCTGTGTTGTCAGGTTCAAAGCCACTTTGGAGTTGCTTTTAGAAGTTTGAGAATCTCAGTCCTTTAATCTGATCATGGAAACAGACAAAGGAGACTCCGGAGCCCAGTTTGGGAAAGTCCGCGAGGGACTCGCGGGCCTGGGAACTGGTGCGGGCCTTTTTTGTTTGGTGGCTGTCAGCTGCTCACAGGTAGCAAAAGTAAAATCAATTTGGAGCGGTCCAGAGGCTCGGCCTCTTCCCAGGGATCACCCTAGGCCCAAACCTGGCTGTGCGGCTAGCCTGAGTTGGGGGTGAGGCTACGGATGAGGTAGGGGTGAGTTAGAGGGTAAGGGTTGGGGCAAGGTTAGGGGTGAGGGTGAGGGTTGTCTGCCGGTCCTGCCCTCCCCCTTTCGCCAGACTGAGTGGATCTTCCGGGAAGACCCTTTACTCCTTCCTCACGGCAGCAAAGCCAAGGGCAGAGGACGAATGCGTAGACAGCGGCGGTGCACACGGGGTGCCCCGCCGGGCCCTCGGGAGCGGACGCAGTCCCGCGGCGTGGAGCGGCCCCTTCTCCCTGCAGAGTCGCCTATTTGCACGCGGTCCGCCCTGAGACCCAGAACACAGGAGCGCGCGCCAGGACTCCGCGGCCCCCGCGGCCACCTGGAAGCCACCGGGTGGGGGGCCGCGAGCTGCAGCCCGCGCTCTGTCCCGCCAGGGGACCCTGGCAGCCCCGCGCCAGAGGGCACCAGCCGGTCCCGCGCGCGCACGCTCCGCGGCGACCTCTGGCGGCGGCCCGGTTGGGGACCTGCGCCGGCCCCGCCCCGGCCCGAAATAGCCCCGCGGCGGGCGACAGGAAGGCGCGGGCGCGGCGGCCTTAAAGGCGCGGCGGGCGGCGGGTCGCGCGGGCATGGAGCAGCGGGACGGCGGCGACGCGGGCCGCGCAGGGCCGGCCGGGGACCCGCAAGCGGCCGCGGCGCTGCTGACGCCCATGGAGCTGGGCGAGGAGCCGTTGGAGAAGGCGGCGCGCGCGCGCACGGCCAAGGACCCCAACACCTACAAAGTGCTGTCGCTGGTAGGTCCGGGCGGGCGGAGTCAGCCGGCGCGCGTCTCACTCATGCTTCTGCAAAAGAGTGTGGAAAGGGGTCGGGAGGACCCTGGTGTGGTGGCGCACGCCGGACATCCCAGCACTTGGGAGGCTGAGGCAGGAGGATCGCTGCTACTTGGAGGCCAGTCTGGGCTGCAGAGTGAGTTCAAAGCCCGCCTGCATTGCATGGTGATACTTTGTCTTGGAAAAAGCAAGCAAGCAAAAGAAAAAAAAAAAAATCATAGTTAGAAATACACCTCACTATCTTTGGGAGTACAGAGGGGCAAAAACGACCCTCTTGAAAGTGGACTCATAATCGCTGTAGGAAGCAGCCTATATGACCTTCAGCTGATGAATGGATACAGGAAAAGTAGGGTTGCCATACCACGGAGTACTACTCTGCCATAAAGAAGGATAAACTTGAGTTATTTGTAGGAAAGTGGACGTACCTTGAGACTATAATGTTGAGTGAAGGGACACACAAGCTTCAGTGTCGTGTGGTTTCTTTTATATGAGAAACCCAAAGTATGAATAATTTAAAAAGCAAAAGGAAAGATAGACCTTAGGAAACCAGGAGCTAGAGCTTTTGCAAAAGGGAAGGAGATCAAAAATTGGAGGGAGGAGGGAAGAGTGGGAAGGGGATGAGAAAACGAGTGGAAATGTGTCGTGTGCACGCACCAGCTCCCCGTGAGGGATATGATCGTTGTGTTCTTACGCTAATAAAAAGACCATCTGGGGAGAAACAAACAAACCTAAAGCAAGAAAGGCAGGTGGTCCGGCTCTGAAAGGGGCGGTGAGTTGGCCTTGGGCCTCAGTGGTGGTGCGGGTGACCCAGATGGGCTGACTGCAGTGGAAAATGATTTCACAGAGTCTTTCAGTTTTTCAGGACCGTTAGCAGACACTGTCTCGCTTGGCTCTGGTGCAGCATTTCCTTGCAGCTGCTCAGAAATTCCATGGCTCGCGGTGGCCCTGAAGGGCGTCTGTGATTCTTCACCGCCCGGGCGCCGCGGTGCTGAGCGCAAAGTTGAGCTTATGGCTGTCCCTGCCCTGCAGCGGCTGGGGTTTCTCCCCGTGAATTTTCAGTGGGCAGTTTCGTGGCCTTTCTTACTTCCCGGGACCTTGCGGACTCCTGCCACGCTCAGTTTCTTCCCTCTGTGATAACACGAAGGATGGTGACCGGGACCCCGCGGACAGGGTGCCGGCGCGGGCAGGACACTCACAGCAAAAGGAGCTGTGATTGCTTCCACCGCCTGCCTGCGCCTGGGCCCCAAGGCGTGCACCCTCCGCAGCGCCCTGCATGTATTAAGGCAGGAACGTGCTTCGGTGCAAAGCATCTCCTGACTCCGCAGTTTCCTTTCCACTGTATTTCAGGTTTCGTGGAGACGTCATAGGTCTTTGACAAACCAAAATTCCTAGACTTGGGGGATGGTGTCATATCCTTAGTGCTTAAAAATAAGCCTAAGTTTAACCGATGAAATGGCCCAAGCCACATGAGGTGGCATCTCAGGATGTATTTTTGTATCCTATGTCACTGTTACAGAGGAAAACTCGCCCAGTTTGAGTCTAGCAAGTTTTTCTTTCCCTCTTTCCTTCCTTCCTCCCTCCCTCTCTCCTTTTTTGTTTGTTTGTTTGGGGTTGAACCCAGGACCTTCCCACTGAACTACACGTCTATCTTTTTACTTTTTATTTTGAGACAGCCTCACTAAATTACTCAGTTACCCAAGTTGGGCTTGAATTTGAGACCCTCCTGCCTCAGCTTCCCAAGATGCTGGGGTTCTGGGCCTGTACCACCATGCCCAGCATCTGAGGCATAGTTTTAAAGGGACTAGTAACTGTCACCTATAATGCAGTGCATTTTCCCAGTTCGTTCTTGCAGAGCATTACTTTCTGGTGTCTGTGACCTTCAACTTACTTAGGAAGCTGTGTCTGTAGTTCTGCCCTGGGCTCTGAGTGTGGGTGGAGATCCTTTTTGCAGAGTTCTTTTCGTGAAAAGTGGGCCCTGTTTATGAGATTTGGGTATGAAGGTCAGCTTGCTTAACTTCCTTTCCTTACTCCTGTAATCTCTTATCATTGAGAACACAGCATGGTTTTTCAGGTAACTCTCTCCCCTAGTTAGATTTGGAATGGTTTTCTTTCTTTTTGTTTTGTTTTTGCTTATTTTGGTTTTGGTTTTTTTGAGACAAGGGTGCCTTAGATAGCCTAGGCTGGCTTTGAACTCAGTGCATAGCCTACGCTGGCCTGGAACTCTGTGATTCTCCTGCCTCAGTCTCCAGAGTGCTGAAGTTACACATGTGCGCCACCATGCCTGGTTTCATAAAACTTCCCTGCCGTGTTCCTCCGTGTGAGTCTCTCTTCTCAGGTGCCAGTAATTAAGGGAAATGAAAATAGTTTGATATTTGTTTTTGTTTGTAAGCTTCCTGAATATCATTGTGAAATCTTTGTGCAGTTTTTAAAGTTAGCACATGTATTTCATCAATGTTACAGACTTTTTTGGATCAACTAGAGAGAGCTTAATTATGTTTAGAAATGTTTTTTTCTTTTGGCTAGAGAGAAAGGTATTTCAAGTCACAGACAACTTAAAAACAAGTAAGGTTTGGAATATAACTTATAATTAGGCATCTGCTTTCGGTTGAAATAAACCTGCCTCTGTCAGGCACGAAATCTCCATACAACAAAAAATAGACTAGAAGCCTTCAGCATATGAGGTCAGTGCAGAACAGAAATGACTTTCCTAAGCGAATGTCTTATGCAACAAGAGCAGATGCTCAGATGCTGGCCTGACCAGAAACCCTTCAGCAGCTCCAAAAAACCGGCGTCTATTTACCAAAGAGAGAAAGTGTATTTCAGAATTTTCAAAATGTTCACCTAAATACTAATTGGAACCTTCTGTTCTCCGAGCATTTTAGTTATGAGTCTTCCCGATGAGAATTTTAGATAACAGTTTTCCTTTCATGTAGCAGTCAGAAGAAAAAGTTGGTGGATATGTAGGTGGCACAAGTTTTAATGATTTTAACCCATTCTTACGGCACTTTGAACTTTTTTTTGTTTCTTTTCTTCTTCCTCTTCCTCTTCTTCTTCTTCTTCTTCTTCTTCTTCTTCTTCTTATTATTATTATTATTATTATTATTATTTTTGAGGTAGGGTCTTGATATACAGTTCAGGCTGACCCTGAACTTACTATGTAGCCCAGATCGGCGTTCATGATGATTCTCCTGCCTCAGCCTCCCACATGCTGAAATTACAGGTGTGTGTCACCATGCCCAGTGTATTTTGCAATTTTAAAGAGCATTGTGTGTGTATTTTTCACATTTTTATTGGTACCTGTTTTGTAATAGGCAAGGCTCCTCCTCACCCTGGGGATCTAGTGCCTGCACATAACACATTTGAATTCTTTTTTCTTTCTTTTTCCCACCCCTGCCCCATTCCCCATGTATTTTTAATCAATTCTAGCAACATCAGTGCCCCTGACATAGGAAAACTTTTCGATTGTCACTTCTACTTTACAAATCCAGAGGCAGCCCAGGCCTGGCCTGAGGGCATGTGCATAGCCGCCTCCTAGCAGGTGTCTTCAAGACAGATTCCTGGGCCCTGATCGCTGAGATTATAGCTAAGGAGCTTGAGAATGGCTCCAAGAGTTGGCCCTGCCCCTGAGGAGCTCCCCAAGTTATTCAGGGGTTGATGGTGCTTTTACTGCACCTCTAGAAGCATTGCAACCTTTCCAGGGACCCCCCTGCCCTGAAGTATACAATGGAAAGCAGGACCAGAAGGACTGTGGGTGATTGTGGACTGGTCACTGTCACCCCTGAGTCCTTTGCACCTCACCTACCAGACTACATCCGGGCGCATTGCGCTGGCCCCATCTGTGGGATTCCTCCTGTCTTTTGCCCCCTTCAGTGCAGACCAATGTAATCAGAACCCAAGAGTCCCCGAGTGGGAGGGAGGATGCAGGTAGCTTCCATAGTGGTGTGGAACGTGTTTCTCGTGGTAATTTGGTGACTCAGTTTCCCTGGGTGGATACCAAAATCAGTGCATTTTTTATTAGTATTAAGTCAATAAAAATGTGTATTTTCCCCCCAAGCTTCCTATGTATGCTAACTTTTGGGAAATAGATTTCTCTTCATTTGAATTTCTTCTTTGATGCATTCCCACGCGCATTAGACTAGGAAACCAGAGCGCTCTGATGGTTGGTTCTGAGAACGTGAATTTTCACAAGTTTGTCTCGAGTGGCCCTTTTCCCACCACGCCCCAGGCCTGCCCGCACGTCTGGCTGGCAAACCTTCTTTCAGATGTGTTTGGGGACCTTAAAGATCACGTGTCTTGGTTTCCAGGAGGGTGTTCTTTGGAAAATAGCTTGTTCGTGAAGGTGGCTCCCAGGGGTCCCCCAGAGCCCTTGACATTGAGGTCGAGATTATTATAGCTGCAGTAATCAGATGACATTTGCCCTTGTCATGGTGCTGACTTATATGTGGGTGTTGTTAAAAGAGCTGTGGGCTAACTACTGATGCGGGAGAGCGATCAAAGTCGTGGGGCCAGTTTTACATGGAGCCGGGATTTGTCATTAAAAAAAAAATAAAGCCAGCTGGGTGAGGTGAGGCAGGTCTGTAGTCCCAGCACTGGGGAAGCTGAGGCAGGAGGATTGTTGTGCATTCCAGACCAACTTGGGCTACAAAGTGAGCTCAGGACCAACCTGAACTGCTTAGCAAGGCCCTGTCTCAAAAAGACAAACAACAAAAAAAGCCTGCTTCATTTTTGAGAAACATGTCCTTTGTGAAGCAGATTTCAGTGATTCTCAAACTTAGTTTGGTTGTTTTATTTTCTCTGTGACAGTGTCGGGAGTTCCTACCTAGCTCATCTGGGGAAGCGGTTGCACTGGTTTTGGGTTTTTATTTTATTTTATTTTTGACATTTTTGAAAGAACTACTAACAATCTTGTTCTTCAGAGTTGGGTATTTTTGTTGTTATTAGATTTTTTCCTGAGACAGGGTCTC